TATTGTAATGCATTACTTTTAAAAGTAACTTTCCCCAACACTGGTTATCGCTTTGGTTATGTTATGGATTGGTTTACTATATTTGTATCATAATAATGCACTGCAATCAGACGTTTGTCTTGTGTTCTTGCTCTTCTTTTGGGTCACTATTGCCCCTTCAAAATGTCAACTTTCCTCCTACTGTTCAGTTCCTTCTCCATCCAAATACAGCCACAGGACCTCTGCTCTTCCACTTCTTTACAAACCACAGAAAAGCACCAAATATCTGATTTAGATGAGCTGAATATGTATAGGACATGTGTAATTGATAACCTTTTAAAGATGTGCCCCTCCAAGACAAGTCATGACATGATGATACATTGACAAGTCATGAATTAATGCTACTTAATACGTAATTATATAAAAAAGAAATACAAAATATGTAACTTGGCTGAAAGCAAAAAAAAAAAAAAAAAAGGTTTCACAGGAAAGTTCGGTATTTGTTTAATTTCATATTTATAGTTTAAATTTCATATAAACCATGGTTTCCTTCTGTTCAACTTTTTCCTGAAGATGAAGAATCTTCTGCTTTTGTATCTCTATTGTCTGTTTTGCTTTGTCAAGAGCAATCTGTAAAGTGGGTACACCATATAAAAAATAAATAAAAAATATATAACTTGGCTGAAAGCAAAATAAAAAAAAATGTGTCTCACTTGAATTAGGCCTAATTCAATTATTTATTTATAAAGTAACATGAATTCATGACTTGTTAATGTATCATTATGTCATGACTTGTCTTGGAGGGGCACATCTTTAAAATGTTATCAGTTACACATGTTCTATACATATTCAGCTCATCTCAATTAGATATTGCTTTTCGATGGTGCTTTTCAGTGGTTTGTAAACAAGTGGAAGTGCAGAGGTCCTGTGGCTGCATCTGGATGGAGAAGGAACTGAACAGTAGGAGGAAAGTTGACATTTTGAAGGGGCAATAGTGACCCAAAAGAAGACCAAGAACACAAGACAAACGTCTGATTGCAGTGCATTATTATGATACAAATATAGTAAACCAATCCATAACATAACCAAAGTGATAACCATCATCACTATGCTAACACTGATTTTAATTTGGAAAATTGCACCTGCTTAATGAATACGCTATTGTAGGATGGCAGCAGTGGAATCACTCAAAACAGAATGAGATGAAATTGTTTTTTAATTATGAATGCATCATTGTGTGTTGGATGAGTTAGGTTAAACATAAATATTGCAAGAATTCCACTGTCGTTCACTGATGTTTGTGACAACTGCAGTTGGCAAATTTATAAACAATTTTACATTGTGCCATTTTCATACATCTTGCTTCTAGAGCATGTTTGATTTAGTTTACCCCAGAGTGTTAATTAATACATTAACTAACATGCAGGAACTAAAATTTAATTAAGGTAGTGTTATTCATGCAGTAGTTCATATGACTCATCTCGTAGTTAAGTTAGTTCTTCATTAGTTCTTGATTAATACATATCTTAACTCATCATTAGTTCATAGTCAAGTAATTATTAATTCAGGTATTAGTACATGCTAATTCATGTACTGTTATTGTAAAGTGTTACCACAAAGTTTACTGTAAGATCCTGTTCACATATGAAAAATAACATCAATATAGTAGACTGACAAATGAAACCAACTATGAAACAAACTAGGATTGAATGATTTTCCTCCTCTAGCTCATACAGTAGGTGTTGTGGACTGATGTAACTGTAGCATTACTGAGCATGCAATACTTTGACTTTTCCAGTAGTCCAGAAATAGATGTTTGTAGTAATATGCACATTTACATGTGTACAAGGTCCAAGGCGTATGAGTTAGCTTGACAGATCAGACATATCTCTTCAGTTTGCCTCCTCTGATCATGGTCGTGTTCGTCCTGAAGCATCAGAAAGTCTATTTCACTGTTTATACTCTTCTGTGAGCATCCAGAAAGAGCAAATCGTTTAGAAGGCAGTGGAGAGGTGTAAGCCAAGCGGTGTCTGTCGGTCATTCATCTGGTCTATGAATGATGAGAAGGTATAGAATTAAGTATATAAACACATATGCGCTATAGATAATGTAAAGATGTGTAAAGACTGTAGAAAAATACTCCTGAATATATACTCAAAACACATTTAATATTTTAGCATGCTTATTTATTTATTGCATTTAATTAATTAATTTTCATCCTCTTATGATGACCCTCCTGCAGTTCCTGAGTTTGGGAAACCTTGTACACTCTTAAAAATAAAGGTGCTTAAAAGGTTCTTCACAGTTGTGCCATAGAAGAACCATGTTTGGTCCCACAAAGAACCATTCAGTCAAAGGTTCTTTAAAGAACCATCTCTTTCTTGCTTTTTTATAATCTGAAGAACCTTCTTTTGCCACAAAGAACCTTTTGTCAAACAGAAAGGCTCTTCAGATGTTAAAGGTTCTTTATGAAACACCTTTATTTTTAAGAGTGTATATATGTTCAAACGTTTAACCAAGAATTTTTATTATTATTTTTTAATCACTTGTTGTGTACAATATTCAGTCATGTTTTATGTCCCTCCTAGGCCATCGGACTTCTATTTTTGGAGAAAAACTGTCTGTGTGCTGAAGAGAATGGCTGAAATTATGAGCATCAGCAGTTAAGTCGGGAAAGGTATGAGGAAGAAATATTGATAAATCAAATACCAACCCAATATCACATATCTGTTCTAAATACTGAGGCATGTATCATTTATTTTTATCGCTATTCATTTATTTTTATTGTCAATTTTGATATTATGAACTCAAGCAAAGATGTATATTTAATCATATACTTACATACTTCCTCTTGGATTTCAAAGTTTTCGACAACTTGTAATCTATAAGAGAAATGTAGATATTCCATGGCTAGATGTTTTGACATATTAGGTCATAGATGGTACAAAGCGTTCAAATATATGAAATTTATATACGATAATATGAAAACAGCAAAAAACTGTTCAAGATAATAGTAGGATAAAACACAAAGTTACCCCCAGTCTGATGAAATTCTTGTTCTGTAAAGCTGATGCTGCAGCTTCTGTTGAGGAAACAGAATTATAACTGAAATTATATATGTATAAGGGATGTCACATATTCAACAAATACTTCTTCACTTTATACGTCTTGCTTTTCATTATTCTCTTTAAAAGGCAGTAATAGATCAAGTGTGAGCCTAAGGATTCGTAAGATAGGAGAAATATGTTTGTTTCTGGCTTAAGCTATTTCTGGCTCCAGTGTTAATTTTTAATGAGGCAGGAGACATTGAAAAATATCCATTCCAAATCCATTTCACGCCATTATGAGGCCTACAAAAACTGAAAACTGGCGAAACATCTACAATAATAAATAAAAAAACATCAGTCCTATTAGATTACACAGCTACAGCTTTCGATAGCTGTTAATGGACAAGAATTCCTTAAACATACAAGGCTGACTGGAAAAAGTGCATCAGCCAATTAGACAGCTTTTTATATGTGGCTCCAAAGTGGCTAGTAAACACTGCATTCACGGCACAGGTAACTGCTTTAAAAATCTGCATGCTCCAGCTGAGCAACTGCCAGTGAGATGAATGGCGATGATAATGGACATTGGACAATCTTAAAGAAAACTACACTTGTCAATCCATTTCATTGGGTCATTAAATAACCTTTTTTGTTTTATTTTCTTTGTTTGGTGATGTTTTGTGTTATTCATTTTTCTTTTCCTGTTTTTTTCTCTTTTATATAATTCATATTTAAGGACTTAAAATTGTATGTGTCTAAATAATGCTTTTATTGTTGGATGATTTTTTTCCCCCAGAGTTACAGCTGGTAGTATAGGAGTGTCTAAAGAACATGTTATAACTGATATTATTGGGTAAACAAGTAGGTTTTGAGTTGTGATTTAAATACAGAGAGTGAGGTTGTTGTCCTTAGTGTCAGTGGTATAGAATTCCATAGTTTAGGTGCAATTACGGAAAATGACCTGTCGCCCATTGAAGACAGATTATAGAAATCTAGGTACAGTAAGAAGTTCACACCCTGCAGATCGAAGTGATCGAGGCGGAACGTAAGGAGACAGTAGATCAGAGAGATAAGGAGGAGCAAGGCCATTGAGTGATTTAAAAGTAAGCAGAATAATTTTGTAAGTAATGTGAGATGATATAGGGAGCCAATGGAGTTTAAATAAGATAGGGGTAATATGAGCAGATCGTTTAGTATGGGTTAATATTCTTCCAGCAGAATTTTTTATATATTGTAAACGAGAGATAGAGTGCAATGGTAATCCGGCAAAAAGAGCATTACAGTAGTCGAGGTGTGATGTAATAAAAGCATGCACTAATGATTCAGCATCTTTTGGAGAAACATAGGATCGAAGTTGGGCTAAACGGCGAAGCTGGAAAAATGCAGCTTTGGATAGTTTACTAATGTAAACATCCAGAGTCAGTGAAGGATCAAGAGTAATGCCTAAATTTCTGACAGTAGCAGATGGAAAAATTGTTGTAGCATCAAGGTTGAAACTGGGAGCATTTACTATATTTTTTGTTAGTGAAGAGGGGCCAGTAATTAAAATGTCTGTTTTATTCACATTCAAACTGAGAAAATTAGAATTTAGCCAGGCCTTTAGCTCATTAACACAGGTAGATAGTGATGTGGTCTGGTGAATAGAATCTGGTCTGCATGCAGTGTATATCTGAGTATCATCAGCATAACAGTGATAATGAAAATCATGACAACGGATACTATGTCCAAGAGGCATGATGTAAGTAATAAATAGTAATGACCCAAGAACAGAGCCCTGGGGAACACCCTGACCGAATAAAGTAGTGGGAGATTTATAATTATACATAGTGATGTAGTATTGTCTATCAGTGAGATAGGAAGAGAACCAGGATAGTGCAGCACCCGAGACACCTATCTCTGAAAGGCGAGAGAGTAATATCTTGTGACAGACAGTATCAAATGCTGAGCTGAGGTCGAGCAGCAGGAGAATGGAGAGATTACCTGAGTCACCAGAGAGTAACAAATCGTTGACAACCTTAACTAAAGCAGTTTACTTGACTTGACTTGATGTGTATGTCATGTATTTATATGTATTTGTAATTACACATTTATAATGATGAAGTTGTAATTTAGTACATTTAAAATATATTAACTTGAAATGTACCATTGAATAACAGACTACAGTTAAAAGTATAATCAATTACTTTACAAGTGCTATAAAGGAGACATATTATGCCCCTTTTTACAATATGTAATATAAGTCTCAGGTGTCCCCAGAACATGTCTGTGAAGTTTCAGCTCAAAATACCCCACAGATCATTTATTGTATCATTTTAAAAATGCCCATTTTGAGTGGAAGCAGAAACACGCTGTTTTCGTGCATGTCTCTTTAAATGCAAATGAGCTGCTGCTCCCCGCCCCTTTTCCAGAATAGGGCTGTGCCTTTACAGCTCCTTCCTCAGATACTCTGCTAAAAAAAACATCTGTTTAGTTTTTATCATCATGTCTGTCGTGCTGAAATCATGCGCTTTAAACCATTTTAGTTTAAAATTCTGATTCAGTTTTCTGAGTGCAAACATCTGAAGCATGCGCACAGAAAGCATGTGAGTACTAAGTTCTCTTTCAGATATACATAAGTTTATGTTAAAAACACACATGAATAACAAAAACAGTCGGTTATGTCTGTGAAGGTAAACCGCTGGGAAATAAATTGCATGTTTATATTAGATCTGTGTGGCATAAGCGTAATATACAGTAAATAAATCAGTAAATCCACTGCTCTCTTGTCTCCTCTGAAGCTGGGACTCTAAATAGTGTTCTGTGCTCATCTGTGGAGCCAACGACAAAACATTTACCATGCCTTCTCGAACCTTTGCCAAACTGGTACACCGTTGTTGTCGCTTGTGAAAACACAATGGCGGCGCCGTGGGTGGAAACTTGCAGATTAAGGGCGGTAATATTATAATAAGATCCCCTTTCTACGTCACGGGGGAAGTGAAAGCTGATGCGCTTGTTTTCTTACAAGCTTGTAGAGAAAGGTTTACCAAAAAAATTGCTGGGTTAATCTTTTTCACATTTCCTGGGTTGATAGATGCACCGGGGACACGATTAAAACATTTAAACACGGGAAAAATAATAAGACTTTTTTTTTATATGTCACCTTTAATATGTTAGTCAACGCATCAAAATAAGTGTACTTTAAAGCATGACACAAGATTATGAAAACATTAATTAAAATGTAACTCAAAGTAAAACTTTTTTTTGGATATTATTACAAAATGCACTTTTTAAAAGTATGTTTAATTGTGTTAAGAAACATGAAAGTGTACTCTCTAAGCCTCCAAGTCAAAATTCGCAAGCATACTTGTGGCGAAACACCTCTACCACTGATATCTACAGAGAATTTCAGTAAGGTGATAAAAGTGTCATGCTGTGGGACTGCTTTTCATTAGCGGGTACTAACATATATTGCAAGAAAACCTGTTTTGGTTTGCTAAATAATGGACTCTTGGGTCTGATTTTCCTAACGTGAATAATCTGGAGTGATTTTCTGGTCCACATTTAGCCGAAAAGACTTCATTAACTGCTACAACAAAGTAATTTAGTTCTTACGTAGTTACTTATGAAGTCTGTAGTATTACATTTTTTGATAATGTGAGAATATTTCCCATTATGAAAATGCTTCAAGAAT